CATTAACGTCCTATTGACATACCGCTTTACGGTAGTACTGTATATAGTATTGAAAAGCTTGTATTTCCCAACATTATCTGCCAAAGACATATACATGCTTTTGACACGCAAAATTGATTATAAGTTTGAGCTCATGAGAGTAGGAAACACTAACAAGCTAACACTCGACCATCACGTGTGTATATCACATGTACAGCAGAATTTCCTCAGGTGATATTCCGGGTGATGAACAAAACACTAACCCCTTGTACATGGACTACCCAGATGGAATGCCTTTGAGTTTTTTGTTTTTGCTAGTTGCAGCAAACACCTCGAAATTCAGGCGATTATTTTAACTATTTTAAGTCCTCTCGTCGATAAATAGCTTGAAGTCATTCCACTTCCCTGAATATCGATTATGAAGTAAGGCGAGAAATAGTTACGTATACTTTGTCTGACCGCCCGCTAACGGTTATCCCCTAGTACCCTCCTAGTATGCAAACCTATAGGCTGAAGTAAGTCTGAGATCAACGAATGTTGTAGAATTTGGCAAAGTCACGTATCGACACGTATCAGGTTTTCGTGCTGCTGTTTGGCTTTTCACTCTGAGTATCAATCTACGATAGGAAGATTGTCTTTCTAAGCCATTTGCTCTCAATAGCAAACTCTTTCATTTCAAACTACTGAATTAAAACACGTGTACTACGCTAGTGAGCCTTAACACTTCCGGTTTAAATGCCCCACACACCAAAGCGAGGGTCATATTCCCTACCCCTCCGGGCACGGACGATGGTAAAATGCCCGTGGGTTGTTCAGGGGAAGGGAGAGTTTAAAGCCTCCAACCCATCGGTGCATTAACATTATGAAAATAGGCTGCCTTTAGACAAACCAGTTACACATTTCACAGGTTTAAGTAGGAAATTGACCAAGTATACAGCTTTTATTTCACCTTCCACACAGTCATTGAACTTAAATGACCCTGCAGCAATCATTCAAAACTTTCTAAGAAAAATTCTCAGGGAATCAGTCATCTCAATTCTGGTCTCCTTCAACAGAAAATAGATTTAAAAAAAACAAAAGCATAATAGGTGAAAAACGAAGAGTCCTCGACGGGTCATGTACAAATTAAAGACTCTGAAATTTATCTTTAATCGAATATGGGCCTTTAATCGGTCGATTTTTATCCCGAGCTTTAACATACTGCTCTCTGATTAGTTACGCGGTATATGAGCGTGCTATACCACTAAGGTACTCTACGTAAGTGAAGTTGAAGAGCACGTTTCAGCCTCGTACTTGTCTTTATATAGACTATGAATGATATTGCTTGAGGAATTACCCCACCCTTAATGGTTGTTATATTATTAATAATGGCTGCGGCCGCTCTAAGATAGTTAAATGAGTGTATTTTACAGAAACCTGATTAAAATTTCTAGAAATATTAACTCGGTGAAAGGTTGGTTAAGATGAAACAACGGGGATATATTTTTTGAACGGCCGCACTGAAATGGGCTATGAAATGGGTGAACTTGACATCGGGGGGAGGGGGAGGGGAAACCAAAAACATGCAGGCTTCGAGGACCACGTTGTTATTTTCTCGCTTCTTTCTTTCTTTTCGTTTCCTTTCTCTCCCCTGCACACTACGCAAACTTCCAAGGCAGTTCTTTCGACCGTGATGTTCATTTGCCGTAGATGTCAGAGTATTCTTCATTGCCGTCGGTTGAATCGTCCCTGATATTGGATCTGTCCGAGAAATCAGTGACGGCTTGAGGCAAGCACTAATCCTGCTATGCGTGACTTTTGTAGAGAGCCCTTTCGTATAAACATCGATTCCTTTCAAGCACTTTGCCGTATTCTTTCAATATTTATGTTCTCGTTTCGGAGCAGCAGTTTACCGATGGAGAATTATGTGGCGAGCGGATTGTTGAACTTGAGTAATGTATCTTCTTGTTGTAGCTGTTGTTTACCAGACGCCATGTTCATAAGCTTATGCACTTATTTCTCCTACGTAAAACAACATTCCCCACACACACCGCGATGACTTACACATTTTGCGACAAGAACAATGCACGGCACTGATAAGAGACCACTAACTTGAGTTTAACTACGCAGAAAGGTAGTTTAACATTAATCAAACTCGGTTATAAAATCTATTGTTCTTCAATGAATTACTGTGGTTACCGTAAGCCCAGTTTCAGTTCGATAAAACGCCAAAAAAGCGGCCACATCACGATGTTTCGGTAAAACCGGTTAACTTCAATTGACTAATTAAAATTAACTTGGTTAACTCACCATTAAGTGTTATCTCTTTTATTTTGTTTTCAAAATACACAGAATTATGAGTTGTTTCGTTTTTGTGTTATGTACTTGTTTATTGCCACATCACAGCAGGCAGCGCAGTGAACGAAGCAAGACTTGTTTCAACCGGCATCTCCCTGGAAGGTGTATAGGGCAGTTAATTTAACTTTGACAATGTTATTGGGAAAACCTTTATCGATCAAAATAAATTCAAATACCTCTGTTG